TACCCACATACATATATATATATATATATATATATATATATATATATATATATATATATATATATATATATATATACATGTATAATATGTATATAATTCATTTCTTTGCATTTATGATATATTTCAATAATTATACAGTTTCAAGTTTTTAGAATATTTAAATTTTAAAAATTAAATAGTAATTATTATATAATCGTATACATAATTTATAATATAAATAGGAAACTCTTTATTATAGTTACATATGAAGGGGTTCTCACACAGACACTAGTCTACTGAACTTTCATAAATCATGTTATGTTATGTTTATGTTATATAATATGTATATATATATATATATATATATATAGAAGGGGTTCTCACACAGACACTAGTCTACTGAACTATATATATATATATATATATATATATATATATATATAGAACACAACATATATATGAAATTAACAACATATAACATTTACCAGCCAATAATACCGATACACAACCGGGACCATAATAAGACAGAACTTAAATTTTGAGTATCATAGATATAAGAACATTTAATTATTAACTATATATAGGTTACGTAAAAAATAAACTGTAGTGTTTTTTTAATTAATATATCATATTTAAAAATTATAACTTCTGAAATTATTTAAGCGTAAATTATATTGTATTAAAAAATTATTAAAAAACATTTTAAAAAATACATGTGTACAATGAAGAATGAATGAAGATATGAAGAACATAATAAAAGATTATAGATAATATATAAGTAACATTATAAGTTAAGTGGTTCTGCGTATGTTAGAGATGCAATAATAAAGACTAAAAAAGATACGTATCTTACTGCTGGAAAATGATAAAACTAGCGATTGAAATTTTTTTTTAAATTAATCCGGTTGTTCGGAAAGTAATTTCGTTTTTTGCGGCTCAAATGAATAATGAATAAATATTCAATTAAATTATATATTGGCCATTCTGATCCAACACTTTTTACCATCTTTCTGTCAGAAGCATGATCCCCGCTCATAAAATTTTTTATCTTTGCTGGCAAAAAACTGATCCAAGTGATTTTTTTTAGTTTTAGTTTTTTTTCGCTACCTATAAAATATAGAATAATTTTAAAATTTGCACGTATATGTATAAGTCTCAATCTAAATTATTTCCTAAGTATTTATCAGATATATTAATTGAACCTAAACGCCTCGATTTACGATCGTCTTCTTGTTCTCGCTTTTTCTTAACTCGTGTTAAACACTCTTTTGCCAAATCTGCTTTTGCTTTTTCTGGTCCTTTTCTCTGGAACTCTCTACCTACTTCTCTGACTACTTCTCCATCACTTGCGAAGTTCAGAGCGGATCTCATGACCCATCTGTTTTCAAAATTCATTGAGGAGCGCTATTGAACATCGCGGAAATAGCGCTTTATAAGCTAATTGATTGATTGATTGATTGATTGATTGATTGATTGATAGATTGATATATTGATTGATTAGTTTTATTATTGCAGCTTTGACATACGCAGAACCACTTACAATGTTATATATATATATTATCTATAATTTTTTATTATGTTCTTCATATCTTCATAGGTTGATATGAATCAGCCATCTTCACCACAAAGGCTGTTTATTCTTTTCACACAACGTACACATGTATTTTATGTGCCCGCGCAAGCACCGAATCATATACGCTGAGTATATGATAGCCATTAAGATGATTGACTCAGGGTGCATTTGAAATACTGAACCATCTCGCTGGCCAACACGCGACAACTTACGTCGTCTTTCCATTTAAGGATAGATGGCTGGGTTGGCCGGGGGTCGGCTACTCGGATGAACCAGCAGAAACTGCAGGATTCGAACCCGGGTCGTGGTAGACGGACGGACACGCTAACTACTCGGCCACGAGACCCCTTTTGATATAAGATTTTTGACGTGTCCGTTTAAGGTCAAGATTTTACCGTCCAAAAAATTTTGCAGTGACCGAAACAAATAATAATCCAAAAGGGCCATGTCTGGAGAATATGGTGGGTGTGGCAGTACATCACACCCTAAGGTAAATTTATTTTAGATTTTTACAATTTATGGCTACATATCTTATTTTTACGTTATACTTGTCTTTAAATTTTATTATTTTTCTCGATTTTACCACTTAAATTATAATTAAATTAATAATATTTCTTAACATTAGACTCTGAATATGGCTATTTGTCGAAACCACTTTGTAAGCTTAATATGACACACATTAAGAAATATAAATTAACACAGCTTATTCGTGTTGAAAATCTTACTAAAAATTTTGATTAACACAAAATGGGCAAGTGAAAGAAAAATTATTAATAATACGAGGTAGTTCAGAAGTATAGAAGAGGGCCAAGGATAGAACCCTGAGGTACCCCAAAAGTAAGAGATGAAGAGTTGGAAGTAGAATTATTAAGAACAACAGAATAAAAAAACGATTATAGAGATAAGAAAACCAAGATAGACAAGAATCAGTAATATTAAAAGTATGATCTAGCAGCCTCAAGAAAATAGTATGATCAACAGTATCAAAAGCGGAGAATATTATCACTAGAAAGATGGATATCATTATGTATTTTGAGTAAAGCGGATCTCAACTTCAAGACCCATCTGTTTGCAAATTTCATTGAGGAGCGCTGTTGAACATCGCAGAAATAGCGCTTTATAAACTTTTTCTTCTTCTTCAGTTTTACGGCGCTTCAGCTCTGATAGGCTATATTTACGCCTTTGGTTCCTGTTGCTCGTGCTCCTATCTTTTCTCATATATATCCATATCGTGTTCTCTTGCACTGGCTACCTATAACATATAAAATACTTTTTAAAATCTGTACATTAATGTATAAGTTTTCATCTAAATTATTTCCTAAGTACTTATCAGATATATTAATTAAACCTAAACGCCCCATTTTACGGTAGTCTTCTTGTTCTCCCTTTTTCTTAAATCATGTCGTGTGCTAAATCTTATGCTAAATCTGCTTTTGATTTTTCTTGCCTTTTTTTCTGGAAGTCTCTGCCTCAAACTCTAACTACTTCTCCATCACTTGCGAAGTTCAGAGCAGATCTTAAGACACATCTGTTTGTAAAAGTCACTGAGGAGCGCTGTTGAACACCGCGAAAATAGCGCTTTACGAGCTAATTGATTGATTGGTTTATTTATTATGATTAAATTCATGGATTTGCATATTTAGCATATTTTTTTGGTTTCTTATTTGCGATCGTCATGCTTGATAGTCCTTCTCTGTGTCAATCTTTTTTAAATGTTCTAGACTAACTAAACCCAACTAAACCCAGTTTTCTCGAACATTGCACGGCAATATAAATAATCTTAATGAGTTTACTACTAGTGTTTTTAAAGATGTATCCGTCTAATTTACAAAGGATAACTTTAATTTTAAATTAAATTTCAAAGCATTCTTAAGCTTATGACAGGCTAGTGGTTTTTTAAAAGTTGTATCGTAATGCAAGAATTAACTTTTAGTACTCGGAAGCCGAATTCGGAAATTTTTAGGCGAGTAGGAATGAAAACTTTCAATCAACTTACTGAAGCCGAAGAAATTTTCATCCGACACTGATGTTGGTCCGACTGACCCTTCTAAACCTAAAGCTACGAATTTACTAAAGGAATGCAAAGACATCAAACTTTGTCATGAACAACAACTGCACTCCTCAACGTGGTTCGGCTTTAAAACGTAGCCATCTGATATATGAATTTGTACGTTCCTCTTGACTGCTGTGCACGTCAGAATGTTTCATATATAAGAGTAACTACAACGTCGCTAACTAGACGTCTGACCATGCACAAGAGGTATGTTCAATAAAAACATACTTAGAACACACACACAATATTGAAACTACAAGAGAAATCCTGGACAACACTGCAAAATAATTTACTGTAGTTCCAGCCACTCCCCATCTGAAATTAACCGAAGCCATTCTCATCGACATAAAATAACCCCTAATAAACAAACAACAAAAGATTTCAACAATACTCCCTACAAGAAGGACAATAATAAAATGTACTAACAACGTCCAATAGTACCGATGAAGACACTGAAGAAAGCAACATCGACCAAAAAACATCGACAAAAGAGCAAGTACATGATACCGAAGCAATAAAACATAACACCACGGCAGTAAAACATAACACCGAAGTAACTAGCCCGAACAAAGAAACCGTATTAATAAATAAAAAAGTTAGTCAAATTAACAAAGTCATTGACAACAGAGAAAGCAAACTACAGGAACAAAGGCCTGGGTTATGTCATTATGTCCTAGTTATGACATTAAACTGACCCTCACTGCCTTGAGTGATGTTGGATCATCAAAGCCTCAAAGACTAGGCCCACCGCTTATAAATGTGGTTGCGTAAGGAAGGGCGTTCTGCGTAAAAATTAGCCAATAAAATATTTATGATGACAAATACACCCGAGAATGAATTGGAAAACTGTATATTATTCCAACTTTAATAAAATAAATAATGACGACAAGATTTTGGTTCGAAATATTGAGAAATGTAATAAAAAAAAACTATCCAAAGCTAGAAATTCGGTAGATTTCATAAATTACTGCATTAATTATAGTCGTCTTTAACAAGCATATATATGTATATATATATAACGTGTAACTCTATATATATATATATATACATATATATATATATATACATATATATATACATATATATATATATATCTATATATATATATATATATATGTATATAGAGTTACACGTTTTTTAATTCAGAAGCTTTAAAGACTCCATGCTCGGTTATTATCCCACCAGTAATTAACTCTCCAGGTGTGACATCGAATGCCGGGTTCCAGCACGTTATGCCTGAAATTAAATATAAATAAAATTAACTTTAGACATTTTTTAATGACAATTTATAATGAAAGGGTACCTCGGTAGCTTTTTTGATATAACACACACACACACACACACACGCACACACGCATGCGTGCATGTTCACACACACAGACACAATAAAAACTTTCTCAATAAAATTTTATATTTATTATCAGATGTTTTCAAAATTTATTATCAGATATTTTAAAATCATCTACCAACACCGATGCACCGGTTAACATTTGTATTTTTCAGTAAATACCAACGCATTGGTATCGATATTTACATTTTCATTATATAGTGCGTTATTGTTTTGCGTTCAGCTGGTTGTTGAACATGTCATTTCGTTCGCTTATAATAAAGTTTCGACGTTTAAACATTGATTGTTTCGTTTGGATTTATTTTGATTTTGTGTTATAAATTGAGGCTATTAATTTGTTAAAAAATTTCTGCTTTTAAGTTACACAAGCAAGTCATATTTGAACAATTCCTATAACTTTAAATTTAAATTAATTATGATAATCCAAAGTAGTACTGTGACTAATAACTTAGAGTTTGCCCATTTAAACATCAATAGTCTGAAAAAATAAATTTTTTGCCGTCAAGGAATTTAAATGTGATTTAATCGGACGTTCTCGCCACAGGTGAAAGCAGATATTTTTCTTCAGACGATGTATGTATATATCAGTCAATCAACACCTGAGAGATATGTATGTTTTGATGAATCACGAGATGTATTAAAAAAGCCAAAGGATTATTTAACTCCGTGAGGTGGGGGTGTAGTTTTACTCAGAAACTCGCCTTCTACTTAGAAACTCGTATAGAGCACTGAAGTCGACCTCAAATTTCAACCTAAATCGTTTGACAGTCTGTGTGTTTCAATGTTTCCAATGTCTGCGCAGTGATCTTTATAAATAATTGTATTTATGATAGTCTAAACGCAAAATTTCTATCAAGGACATGGTTTAAATGCGTCGTCACTGATGAAAGTGACGTTAACTCTAATCTCAATAATGAACTTAGAGAAAAATGCAGTGATCTTTGTATTTATGATAGTCTAAACCCAATATATATATATATATATATATATAAGATTACGACTGTTTATCAACCATTAGAAAAATCGAAAAGTTAAATTGGAAATTAACTAACGCCAAACATGCTGTGATTTTCATGATTGCATTTCTGACAGTCTAAATCCAATATATATATATATATATATATATATATATATATATATATATATATATATATATGATTCGCTTTTTGTATCATAGCAATATAAAGTGGTTGGCTGCATTGCACATCATCTGTATTAGCAATAATATTAAAATTAAACGAAACAAACGAATATTAAAAACTTTAACAACCTTTGACTGATAACTGTACTCCATTTAGAGTGGTCATTTCTTCTTGAGATCTTTCTTCTATAACAATATTCTTTCCATTCGGAAGTCCAAAATTGATTGAAGTAAAAGGAGCTGCAACATAAAATGGTATATTGAAATGTTTAGCCAAGATGGCAATTTGAAAGGTTCCAATTTTGTTGGCAGTATCTCCATTGGCAGCAATACAATCGGCTCCAACAACAACCGCATCAATGCGTTCACGGGACATCAAAGCAGCAACCATTGAATCACAAATCATTGTGCAAGGTATTTTGTCATAAGTTAATTCATATGCAGTCAATCTTGATCCCTGATTATAAGGCCTAGTTTCAGTGAAAAAACAGCGGCTCAATTTTCCTAGGGCATGAAGACTTCTAACCACACCTGAAGATATTTATATCCAATGAATTCATTTAGCCAAAAACGTCAATTTTATTATTGACATCCAATGTTTTCGATTAGAGTCGAAACAAAATAATTTAAAAAAAATATACATTTCTTTTTATCATGCAGTGAGTTTTGGAACATTAAAATTAATTTTCCTTTTATTGAAGTTAATATTCATTTTTGATATTGTCATAGTAACTTTTAAGTTTTCACTCATATTTTATCACGTTTATGTTATGTTATGCGTATGATGTTATTCATTCTATTGGCATTCCTCAGAGGAAAATATAAGACGGTGAAAATAAAAACTGGTGTGTGGCAACAAGCTAAATCTCAAGATAAAAAAACTATAAATAAATAAAAAAAACCTATGACCAAACAAATTGTTGCTACCAAAAATTTTATAATGTTCAGATAACATGTAAACTGAAATTGAACGACGTATATAAAATATTTAAAATTGTTGGAGATAGAGTCATAAATAACATTATTACAACAGAGTAGGTTTCGCCTAAAGAAAAAAGCAAATTCCAGCAATAATTGCATTGATTTATTATCAAGAGAGTTCTTGTATCATTGAGAAAGTGCTACGACAATTATTTTTTTTTGAAAATCAATCAAAAAACAGAAACATGCCTAAAGCAGTTCCATAATTAGCAGTTGCCAAACTTCCGGTATTACAGTGAGTAAGCAAATTAACACTTGTTGTTGACAATCTCTTTAAATTCTCAGAACCATTCTTACCAATAAGTTTATTACAATTGATATCATCCGCCAACAAACCTTCCAGTTTATCAAGGAGCCTGTGGAGAATTAATGGTAAGAAGCAATCGCTGAAAAATTATTTCCTTGGTTATTTAAAAAATGTGGAAGCAGATGTTACCAAAGATCACAAAGTTACTATTGAAAGTGATTAATCAAGAAAATATAATGTTTGTAATAATGTTATAAAAGGGTAACTCAATTAAATTACTAAAAATCGAAAATGGAAATGATTTAGATGTGAGAGAATATTTAAAAAATAATGTTAAAACTATAAAGTTGTGAAATTCATTTGCTACAATTTTTATGGAGCAAAAATAAAACTTTTATCAACATTGATAGAAATGGTTAAAATTGTAGGATCAGGCATTCCTAAACAAAGATCCTTAATGTTACTCCTAATAGGAAACAGCACCATGCGGCACATACACACACACGCACTCTTGCAAATAAATGTCAATACAGTGACGATGTTTCACCACTGAGCCATCACTGTATCTCGTGTAGGCTAAGCTCTGGCAGACAAGGGCACTCTGCAATGAACGATCTGCTTAGGTTTTTCCAAAAAGCCTGCATAGCGGCCGCAAATTACCTGCTTGCAACTTTTGCCCAGTTGGTTACACAATAGTCCCACAGTCTCAAAGCCATTCGCTGACATGACATGAGACATCACGTTTCCACACACCTTAGCTGAAAGGTATATCAATCCTACCTCAATTAAACCTGGTCCAGCTCCAATAAAGACAGCCGACTTCAAACATGACAAATACAAAGCTGTTAATGTTGGCAAAGTTGTTAATGATGGCATTAAGTTTTTTTGCCAATCTGTATAGAAACTCTCGACGACCTCACCGACAGATCACAGAGCTTTTCTTGGACCAAATCGGCACAAAACCTTTCACAATAAGAGGTGACCCAAACAATAAATTATACATGCTACATGTTGTATTTTGGAAAATATTTATAATTGCCCTGCTGTCCGAGACCTCAAAACCTATAATAATTGGCGAGTTAGAATGAAATGACAGTTTTGTTAGCAGTTATTTTTCATTAAAGGCTCTTGCAAAATAAATAAACACGTACATACACACATTTAATTGAAAAAGTTATTCTATGATATCATTTGTTTAAATCAGTATGGTTTTCGCGATAAATTACCTACCGAATTTGCTGTTTCTGATGTTGTTGACTATATATCTCTTGCACTTGAAACTAAGAAATATTTTGTTGGTGTCTTTATTGATCTTTGTAAAGGCTTTTGATTCTCTAGATCATAAAATTCTATTATCCAAGTTATATTCATATGGTGTTCGTGGATTAGCTTATAATTGGTTTGTCTCTTATTTAAGTAATCGCTTTCAGTATGTCGCTATTAATAACTCTAAGTCTTTGCTTTCTCCTATTAATTCTGGTGTACCCCAGGGTTCCATCCTGGGTCCACTACTATTCAATATATATATTAATGACTTCATTAATTCATCTAATGTTTTAAAATTTGTATTATTTGCTGATGATACAACACTTCTTTTCTCTCATACTGTATTTAATGAGTTTGTTTGTTTATAAAACATGTTTTATTTTATTTGGACCTAAAATTAGAACTAATATTGTTTTCCTTGTTAAATATTTAAACAATTATGCTATGAAGGTTCTTGAACAAGATGAGATCAGGCTACAGTGGAGAGAATACTTCAACCGTCTGTTAAACGAAACAAATCCCATCAATGTTAACTTTGACGCTTCACCTATCGAAGGTCCGATTCCAGACATCACTGTAGAGGAGCTTACAGAAGATCTGAAAGCTATGAACGATGGAAAGGCAGCAGGGCCTTCTGGACTCACAAATGACATTATCAAAGCATCTGGTACTGCAGGTATCCAAACGTTACTACAACTTTGCCGTGAAATCTGGAAAAATTGCTCAATGCCGACTGAATGGAACTATAGCATGACAGTCCCGCTATACAAAAGCAAAGGCGATCCATTGAACTGTTCATCATATCGAGGTATACGTCTGTTAGAACACTCCCTGAAAATTGTCGAAAAAATCATTGAGAGAAGATTAACGTTGTGCATCACAATCGGAAATTATCAATTTGGTTTCCTAGCGGGGAAATCAACAATTGATGCAATTCACATCCTTCGGCAACTGCAAGAGAAGTACCTCGCAAAGCATCAACAACTATCACACATTTTTGTAGACTTTGAAAATGCATTTGATCGAGTTCCCCGTGAAGCAATCAGGTGGAGTCTACGTCGACAACTCATTCCAGAATATCTTGTTCGATTTGTAATGGAAATGTATACGAATACTAAGACTCTTGTCAGCACAACGGTTGGAAACACAGATGCATTTGACATCGGCGTTGGAGTTCACCAAGGCTCGATTCTCAGTCCACTTTTATTTATAATGTGATGGAAGAAATCACAAAACCGATACGCACTGGTGACATTTAAATTCTAATATATGCTGATGATAACGTTTTAACAGCCACGTCTGAGCAGAATGCAGCACAGATGTTTAAAGATTTGAACACCAGACTCGCCGATCTTGGAATCAAAGTCAACATCAGCAAAACCAAAGCAATGAACACTGGTGAACCCATCCAATCCACAGCTACTGGACGATGTCCCTGTTCAGTTTGTAAAGCTGGTGTAGGTAACAATTCAATCAAGTGTCAGCAGTGTAACCAGTGGTGTCACAAACGTTGTTCAAAAATAATTGGTACTTTATCTAAAGTGTCAAATTTTGTTTGTCCTGCTTGCATCAATCCACAACAACAAATTCGGAATGACAATGTTTTTGAAGCCATTAAGGTAGAGAAAGTCACATCGTTTCAATATCTAGGGGATGTTCTGGATTGTACTGGAACAGCTGAAGCTGGAATAAATGGCATCTCCTTGCCTCTATATCGATGCGGCGTGACATCCCACTACCACTACGATCGAGACTTTATAAATCTGTGATACGTCCGGTGTTGTTATATGGTGCAGAAACATGGACAATGACAACCAAACTGGAACAACTTCAACGAACCGACATGAAAATGCTCCGATGGATGCAACGAATTAGTCTGTAAGACCACATCAAATCTACCGAAATCCTGCGTCGTGCTGGTTTAGATGATATAAAGGACGAATGCCGGCAACACCGTCTGCGGTGGTTTGGTCATGTCAAACGAAGTGGAAACAGTGCCATAACTTCTCTTGCAGATGTTGAAGTACCTGGCACACGTCCCAAAGGCCGTCCAAAGAAGTCCTGGTCGCAAACAATCTAGCAAGACATGAAAGCTCTAAATTTAAATGAAATGGATACAACTGATCGTCTAATTTGGCGCAAAAAGTTGATGGCAAAGAAAACAACGTCCTACCTCGGGAAACCGGGTCTCTGGACGCAAAACGAAGATTGATATATGCTATAAAACGGGTTAATTCAGTGAAATTCCTCAGTGTTGTTATTACTTCGAATTTGTCATGGTTTGACCATATTAAACATATTTCATGTAAATTATCGTAAAACCTAGGTGTTATATATATATATAGGTAATCTCATCGTAAAACTTTAAATTTAGTTCAAAATTTTTTTCTTAGGATATTATCCAAACTAAAAAAAATTGATCATATAAGTCATTGTTATCAATTGGCTAATATTTATAACATATATCAGTTGTACATTATTTATTTGCTTGTTTTCTTTTTTAAAATATATAGATTAAACTATTGTGCAACTCTCTACAGTCAAGTTATAATATTTAAAATTCCTAAAAGAAATACTTTACGCTATAATTCTGATTTTTATCTCTTTAAACCAAGGTCAATTTTTTTCTTAACTCAGTCTTATCTTCTTCTATGCGTTTTTGGGACACTTTACCTGTGTATGTAAAGGACTCACCCTCTCTTGGATTATTCAAAACTGCTATTCACCATCTTATCTTATCTGGTCATTTCACACATGATTGACCGTATTTACTCTTTGCATTTATTCATTGTGTTTTACTTTTAAAATAATTAATTAATTATCTCTTATATTTGAGTTCAACTGTATGTTTTCATATGTATATGAGCATTTACTTAAGTATATGCGTGTTTTGTTTTTGGCTTTGTTTCGTTACTTCAGTCTATTCTCATCTTATTTATCTTGTATCTTGTCTTTAATTGATCTTGGTGGCCCCAAAAGCACGAGCTTCAGGTCTCCTAGAGAATGACATATGTTTTTCGCATGTGTTTGTTTGCTAAATAAAAGGATTATTGAATTGAATTGAATTGAATTTACACATACAATACATACTAACAGTCAATACATACATGAAAAAATGAATTTAAATAAATAAAAGATATAATAAATAAATTAAATATGATAAAAATTAACAAATAAATAAATGAGTAAATAAAAAATAAAAATACATATTTATGCATTTCATGTAAAAAATGAATGAATAATAGTAACAGTGTCAATCAATCAATCAATCAGTCAATTTTCGTTTTGCGTCCAGACACCCGGTTTTGCGTCCAGAGACATGCATATATATATATATATATATATACACATATATATATATATATATATATATATATATATATATATATATATATATATATATATATACACACACACATACATACATACATATACATAAAAAATATATGTACATTCACACACATCTATACACACTATATATCCATCCATATACATTAGCCAGACAAGGCATTATACATATACATAAACAAATATAACGAAATGATTTTTTTTTTCAAGCTTTTGACTAATCTGGCATCTGCATTAATTTGTTAAGAACACTCTTTAGCCTTTGACACTTCATTAAAAACAGATAAAAGAGTACAATGATCTACCATGTCAAGGGCCAGGCACTAGATTAAAATCAAAAGCTTGAATAAGATCTTTGTAGAGTTTAGGAAAAGAAGACCCAATACTATGACTTAAGCAATAACCAGATTGAGAAGAAGGTTGAAGAAAATTAAATTGTAAGTAAAAATAGAGTTGGTTGAAAACAATTTTTTCAAGAACTTTAGAGATAAAGAATAGGTTATAACTTAACAACATAGAAAGATCTTGATAAATTTTTTTAAAAGTATGAATTACAATGGAAGTTTTGAAAAAAGAAGGAAATTTGTAAGTGATAAGAGACAAATCTTGACATATGACATCTTTTAACAAATAAGAATAGTAATTTGACTTTGGCTGGCTGAGCCAGTATACAGCAAGTGTAAAAACTCTTTCAGAATTTTAGTAGGAATGATACCAAGAGAACAGGAGGAGGAAGACATAAAACCAATCTTATACAAATTTTGTTGTCAGCAAAAATAAGATTTACAGAATACATTTTTGCAATGACCTGACGTAATAAATAGTGATGTGCATTTTTTTCAAAAATATAATTAAAATAAAATAATTCAACAGCTAAAACCTTGATAAAAATATTTTCAACTGTACTTACTTTTGCTTTAGGTCCAAAACAGTGAATGAAGAGTGCTCATCGATGAAGCTTTGCAGGGTAGCATCCAAATTGAAAAGATTGACAGCAGTGGGTCTTGATGTTATAAGATATTTCATTCTATTTGAGACAAAACTCTTCAATTCAGACAAAGAATTAAAGTCCTTAGAATACATTTCAACAGCCAAACTCAATCCGCCAACAATTGCTATTGCAGGTGCTCCTCGAACCTGGACATCATTTCATTGAATCTAAGATACATACAAAACATTAAATTGAATACTTCAAATCCAATATTAATAATTCTCTCTTAATTAATTTTTATAAGTATCAACAACCTACATGTGGGGTACGTGTATAATCGTGGATACAAATATATAATAAATAATAAAAACAAATAATAACATATTGTAAATAAAGAATAATGTTTAGCAAAAAAATTTTCAATATATATATAAACAGATAATTGTTTAACCTTTTAACAAAAATAAATATCCCATGCTAATGATATATTGCAACTTAACTATACATACTTTATTTAATGGCTTGTTACCTAAAAAAATATTAATTGACTAAAACAAATAGTCAATTTTCGATCCAAATATTTTGTTTATATGCACCATTAACCAACTTTCCATCAACAAATCAGACCACCAACACCTTTTTTTAACTTGAACTTGTTTTCAAAATAAATAAGCGACACCAAATGTTTTAAAATAAGTTCATAACATGCATTAAGGAGTGCAATGCTAAATCCTGTCACCAAAAATTGTAGCTGTATTTTAAACATCAATTGTCATTGAAACAATCAACTTGCAAACTGGCTTGACTTCATAATTAAATATAGTTTCCATACATTTAATTCCCATCCTTTAGTAATTGAAAAGTGTTAATATTAGTTCAATTTCACAAAAAGCTTTTATTTTTTTAACTATTTTAGAATACAATATAAACCACAAAACACACCAACACTGTGCAATCGGAAGTTAATTTAAATGTCTGGAGCACATTACAATCATGTATTAAAGCTTAACAAAGTGCCATAAGGATATTTAACAAGATGTATAATTTTATTAACTTAAAAAGTGCTAATTATCATGTACCCTATTAAACTGTTTCTTTTTTAAACTTTTATTAGCCATCTGTTGAAGCTATATTGACTCTCTTATAAACATCATATAGTGGAAGGATAGGAACAAAAAAAGAGAAAAATTAAACATTTGAATGAAAAATAAATCACCTGCATAAACTTTATTGCATTCCATCCATCTTCACAATTTTTTATTTGTATGTAATCAAGTTGCGATGGCAATTTAAGCTGATCAATGATTTGTAAATTTCCTGCTGAATATTTTATCGCCTCCATTGAAATGCCTGTGTATTTATGAAAAAACAAATGTAACAAATGTGCTTGTATTATATTTTTGTTACATAAATTTTTGATAACAATTATAATAATAAATAATTTATTAAACTTGAATAATTTTAGTACTATCTGTCAAGTGTACCATATTTATATTCAAGAGTCACATGAACTTCCATATAAAAATTCAATAAATTAATTAAATACAAGTGAGGCGGGTCTGAATACGTAAGGAGGCAGAAAAATAAGAGTTAAAATATAAATAAACATCTGCAGAGATATCTATAATAATGACAACTAATCACTGGCTGTCTAACAACATAAAATAAATTTCTATATTTTTGGAGAAAAACACTGAAAAACTTCTCATCCTGGTTTTTCAATTGAAAGTAAATTTATTTTTTTGGAACATAAACCTAGAGCTTAACCTTATTATTTATGGAGTTGGATCAAGTATATGCCTAAAATTATGAAAGAATGTTTATAAAACCTGTTTTTAAACAGAAATTCATCTAAGTGGCTCACTTCTCTAACTCTGCCGACTTGGTTTCAGATGTTATCCTAGTACTACAACGCCCTACCTCAGGGAACTGGGTCTCTGGACGCTAAACAAAGATTGATTGATTCCTAGTACTAAAATCTCTTTGCTAAGAATATAAAATGATATATTTCTCTTAAAAAATAATTTAGATTGAGACCTGTACATTAATGTGCAAATTTTAAAGTTACCCTATATTTTAAGGTAGCCAGTGTAAAAGTACAAATATGGAGACATGTTAGAAAAGATAGGGGCACGAGCAACTGGACGAGCAGCAGAGTTAGAAGCCTTACTTAAATTATCTAATTTAGAATCAAGAAAACCATTGTAGAGAAAATTATAGTAAAAATGAAGTTCATTTCACTCAATTCAATATTTTTAAATTTAAATATTGTACATGATTTAATAAAATGTAAATTTAAGTACAATAATTAAAACAATTTTAGTCAATCTGGACAAGAAAAGAATTGCACAATTGGTGCATGAGATGAGTGATTCTGGATATGTCAAACAACTTGATGTGTTTGAGACCATATATGAGTTACCTGTTCTAAGTGCATAATTTGTTTGTAGTCCTTTTAGATAACGAGATTTATATGAAGCCCAATGGTGAGTGTGAAGGTGAATGGCCTAATATTGGTAATTGATGTTTGTGAGTGATAGATGTTTTCTTGAGTCAACGTTATTTTTTTTAATAACTACCATTGTATATCAGGTAGAAAAAGAAAGGCTAATTTAAAAGAGAGAAATGATCCAGAGTATTTAGAGCTTTAGAAAAGTCAAGAGCAATAAGAATATAAGATAGAATGAAAGAATGAACATGATTTTTATTCTTAAGAAGAGATGTTTTTTTACAGTTAAAAAAGATGATGGCTGATGTAAATGAACATGTGGATCATAATGCATATTGAGCTCGTAGTAGTAGCATGCATAATGATTAAAACATCATGGATAGATGAATGACCTTTAAAACCATGAAATTTTTAGACTATGTAAAATAGGGAGAATGAGATTGGGCAATAATAAATCAAATGAGAGTAAACTTGCGCTAAGTCTGTGTTGCAGATAAATGGTGAGATGATTTTTTACTTTAGTAGTTTAGTTAGTTAGTTTTTAGTAGTAATAGAAACCAATTAATTAAATTAAAAAATTAAATTAATTGAATTGAATTTAATTATTTTTAATAACTAAACTCATAAATTGAAATTAATTAATAAAATTAAACTACCTTAAACGTCAGAATCTGTGGTTTTGTAGACATTAATAAATTAAGCAAATTGGCTCAGTAAACCTGGCAAAACGCAGCCAATCATTAGTGAAAAAAACTGCACTTTGCCTTAGGAAGAGGATCTTATCGACGCAAAATCTCACTTGACCTACATTACATAAAAAAGGATAGTGAAAAAAGAGAGTGCGTAAAACTTGAAATAAGGTGCGAATATATTTGTATAATAACTATTTTATATATATATATATATATATATATGTACGTACATATGTATGTGTGCATGAGCCCATGGATAAAAACAATGACCATTAAAATCCACCATTTTCTTCCTGCTCGCGCTATTTAATGTTGGTTTTTGAGTCTCCCACCGAACATGGATGTATATAATATATAATATGGATATATATGTATATGGCACCGAAAGGCGTTTGGCAACATTCTCAAGAATAAAAAAAACAATTAAATTTTTGTAAAATTATAAAATATTTTGTTTAATATAAACTATGTCATTAGGGTTGCTTGAAATCTCAACAATTTTAGCGTCAACAATGTCACCAAAAACCATGTTTTGTCAACCGGGCCGAAAGTTTCAATGCGGACAGGGATGAAAACTTTCGCATCATTATTTAAGTCCTTATATTTGTTATCCATAAAATCAGCCGCTTTTAAAACAACTGATCCTGATTCTATGGGTGTGTAATTAATATATCTTTCTGCCAATGTGTGAGGGAACGTAACGTCCCAGGTCAGACAAAGTCCATGAGACCATGGAACCCATGTATATCCCTCTGGTCTAATATTACAATTGGGTATCAAACCTGCTGTTTTCTTGATAAAGGGCATCTTTGCTTTTTGAAATAAACGGAAAAATGTCCGATGTGTATATTAAGAATTGAATGGGTCCTAACACTAAACCTTGAGGTACTCCAGACAAAACAAATTTATTTCTGAAAAAATATCTTTAAAAAAAATTTGCTGGGAACGATTTAGTAAGTAAGACTGGAACCATGTATGTGCAGTATCATATAATATAACTTTTTTAACAGTATCTGATGATTGACGCAATAAAATGCTAATGACATGTCTATGAATGACAGCAGTAGAATATTCTGGTCATTTATTTTGGAAATTAGCTTGAAAAAACATATAATAGCGCCGTATCTGTCGAATAAAATTGCCAGTAGCCTGAATCGTGAATTGGCATGACAGTTAAATGACTCAGAAAACTCTCAGTGAGAACACGTTTAATGATCTTTGAAACAAATGAAAAACTCAAGATTGACCTTTAGTTAAATATATCATTACTTTCCAGAATACTTTTTTCAAAATTGGGTGGATCACGGCATGCTTTAGACGAGCAGAAAATTTTTTGAACCTAGACGCAAATTAACAAAACTAGTGAGAAAACTGATAAACAAATTATTATGTTTTTTAAAAATTCGTGTTGGAATTGAATCAAGAAATCTTGTTTTTGATGGCGAACTAAGTATGATCCTCTTTCGATCATCCTCCGTAATTTTGGGCAACGATAAAAGACAATTGATGTTTGACCTATTTGTAAAGAATGATAATTAGCTTCTGTTGTTCAAGTAATTTTATTTATTGTATCCATGGAAAAATCAATAAAATGTCAATTACTACAAAAAAATGTTTAATGTTTACGCGTTTAATTCCATAGAACTAAGCAAAATTGTTAGGCAGTTTTTAATTCCGAGTGGTTCCGAGCGTCTACCACTCCCACGACCCGGGTTCGAATTCTGCAGTTTCTACAGGTTCATCCGGGTAGCCGACTTCCGGTCAACCCAGCCGTGTCCATCCTTTCGGGGTTGGTTAATGGGTAGACGATGTAAGTTGTCGCATGCTGGCCGGCGAGATGGCTCAGTGATTCGAATGCGCAGTGAGTCAAACATCTGAATGGTTATCATATACTCAGCGTATGTGATGCGGTGCTTGCGCGTGCACATAAAGCACATGTGTACGTCGTGTGAAAAGGATAAACAAACAGCCTTTGTGGCAAAAGATGGCTGCTTCATATCATTGGTTGAAGATATGAAGAACATAATAAAGATATATAGATGATATATCAGTAACATTGTAAGTGGTTCTGCGTATGTCAGAGCTGCAATAATAAAGACTAATAAAAAAAAAATATCCATTATATCCATGATCGTATCCAGTGGCGTCACTAGGGTTGGTGTCACCCGGTGCGGTAACTCATGGTGTCACCCCTCTCATGACACCCCATAGACATACGACATTCTTAGCAAAATTTATAAACACGAACAAGTTAAATGTGCTCGGCCGCGGCGCTTAATAATTCGGACGTCGAATTTGAATGGTATAAATGTCGAATACAAAAATGATTTGAACGAAAAAAATTTTATTCATAATACATTTCTGGGCGCTGGGCGGGTTAGGCTGAATTAATGATAAGAATAATTTCATGGAGGGACATAAAAACATATACAAAACATACCCCTGTGAGGGTGTCACCCGGTGCGGTCCGCACCCCCGCACCCCCCTAGTGACGCCACTGATCGTATCCACAAAAAACTGCATGAAATGGAAAGCCGTTAGTTTTAAATCAACATCAGATTTGAAATTTTTCTTGTTTCTAAACATGATCTTATTTGCAGTTAGCCAAAAATTTCTATGGTTAAAACGATTTTTTTAAAATTATGTACGCTTATCAGAAAAATGTTCATTTTTTTCAATGAATTCCTTCGATTATTACAACTTTTAGTTGTTGAGCATTTTCTGAAAAAATTTCAAGTTTCCTGCACTGTCTTTTTGATCGACGTAAATTTGCATCAAACCATGAAACTGTATGATTACTATTAACGTGAATCTTATGAAATTGTACAACTTAGTTTATTATCAAACAACATTAATTTTGCATCAACATCATTTTCCTGGCATGGACCTGCAACAGCTAAGATTTTTAAACTGATCTTTGTCTAGATCTTTCCAAGACCGAGCTAATTTTTCAACCAGATTACCACACACTCAAAAAATCGTCATTTTTGCTTCTATACAACTATGGTCAGATTATACTTCACTCGGGCAAATCGTTTTCTCAGGAACAGGGAAACCACAAGAGCTAACAATCAAATCTAGTGTACCACTAAGAGAAGAAGTTTTACCATTTACATAGTTAACCAGATCAAAAATGTCGAATATTTTTAACAAACTTATCGTGCGAGGATCATCAATTTTCTCTACATGAATATTGAAGTCACCCATTAGCTAATCATTGTAATATGTTTCAAGACTGATATAAAATCATTAAAAAATGAATAAAAAATCTGTGCTGAACCAGGTCTGTATAAGGAAAGCAAAATAAAATTATATCATCCAATTATAAGCTTTTTGGTGATGGCTTCAAAAGGCGCAAACAGTGGCAGTGTTTTTTATTAGAAGCAAAACTTAAGCGGAAAAAAATAAGTAATCTCCGGATCAAGTGGCCTTATAAAACCAACAAAGGAACACCCAGGTGGCATGGCCAAACCAACTACAACATCCCCAACCCATCCCATGTTTCCGTTCATACTAAAACATACAATTCTCCTTAATTCATGAATACTGTCAAATTTCGGGATCAAAGATTTTATATAAAAAAAACCCTTACTATCAGCATTTTTTTTCTGGGCCTTCTCGAGGACGTTTTTTAATTTGATTTTTTGCTCTCTGGTTAGATCGTGACTTAATCTTACCTAAGCAAAATCATCACCATTTTTTTAGTTTTATATATTTTTAAACAGAAAATCCTTGATTTTTAAATCATCAGACTTTATCAAAATCTGTCTGACAACATTTTTTCAAAATTTTTATTAATTTGATGACATTCTTGTCTGTAATAACATTATCAGAAAGGTGGTTTAGGAACATTTTAATTCACTCTTGAAATTTTTCATTTCAACATGCAATTCGACTCTGGATTTTTCCAACGTAGACAATTTATTACAATCAGCATTAATTTTCAATATGATACTATTAATTTCAAACTTAACGTTCTCATTCTTTTCTTGTAATTTACCTATCTCATTTAGCAAGACTTTATTGTTTTTGTCAAAATTTTTGCCAACAGCTGTATCGATGGCAAACAACTGATGCAATCATATGTTAGAACAACTCTTCACAAATTCAATTTTTACTTGTCATCTGCAAATACTTGTAGTGAAACTACTTGTCACATTGAGCAGACCGCAGACCAGCACAAAGTTCATGATAAAACAAATCACACTGTCTAGATTGTGTTAAGTCTTTGATATAAGTCATTTTTACATTTTCACTTGTGCCGGTTACTCATTATGTACACCCAAACTACAAAGCAGGTTTAACCTCAATTATCAAAACAATGCAGGTTAACTTATTTTTACCAACGAATTACTGACAAGTACTTAAGGTCAATCAATCAATCAATCTTCGTTTTGCGTCCAGAGACCCGGTTTCCCGAGGTAGGACGCTGTTTTCTTTGCCATCAACTTTTTGCGCCAAATTAGACGATCAGTTGTATCCATTTCATTTAAATTTAGAGCTTTCATGTCTTGCTCGATTGAATATTTTAATTAAAAATTTCTTATTTAAATTTTACTTCAAAAATTAGTCGTATTTTAAGTTAAATTTAAAAAACTTTTAAAGAAATAATGTACCTAAGTAAATTCAAAGCAACTTTAAATAAATTTATAAAAAAATAACGCCAAAAACTACCAAATTCACTGAAGAAATAACCAAGAAATACAATAACTGCCACACGAACAAAAATTAAATTTCAGATTCTATTGCATTTTTACCAAATGTTTCTAAACTTTGAAAATTTCATATTAGCATATGAGTAACTTGTTAATCGCTAACATATATGTATAATATTACAATCTTTGGTTGAATAATCCTTGGCTAACTTCAAGTATTTTTATGTCTGATTCTATTTAAATTAAATTATCGTTACCAACGTGCAGATCGTTTTGTTTTCAAGATTAATTAATTTGGTTAAATTTAATCGAAAGATAGAAATGGAAGAGATCTCTGGAGTCACGGAATATTTAAATGATTGTTTAGGAATAAAAGGTATCATAAAATTGAGGTACTTCATAAATTTTAATTTAGTTTCATTTTTGGCACATGGTGTGCACTTGTTTTATAAATGGTTCTGTGCTACATCTGTCAAATTTTTTACATGAGTTTAGTAGGTCTTTATGGCCTAGTAAGAAAAACTTCTAAAAACTAGAAATTTGACAAACGTTAAGTTTCATGCCCAAAGCCAATAATTATGCATGATGCTATAGCCGTAAAAGTGTATGTATGTAAATGTAAAATAATTAATTTAAACTGCGTTGAGCATGAAATTTTATAGAGCATTTATTTAAATTTTAAACCCAAGATTTAAATTAATTATATTATAGTGTGCCAAGCTTGGTTTGAGTATGTAGTATGCCATATATAACATATACAGTACTATAAATATTCTTTAATAAATTGTCCGCTTGCATTATAATTTGCTTTCATTAGTTTCCATTATATAATGTCTTCAATGCATTCTGACATTTTTAATGATTTATTCACTTCCCATACAAATTGAATATTAAATATTTATTCTGGCTTATATTCTAACTAAAGCCATCTTTGTAAATGACAGATGTAATGTTTTTTGTGAGCAATCTACCCACTGGGATAATGAAATATATCATTTGTAAATATATCAAACCAATCAGTTTTAATAACGCAAGTTCCTGCAATATATTTTATATTATACATTTAATTAAGGTATTCAGATTTTATTGTTCATGAAATTAATTTGGATGGGAATGTTGTTCACCTGACTAATATTTCATTTAAAGAAGATGCAGAGGTTTTTATTTGAAAGTTTCTACTTCTAATTTTGGCAGAATTTCTAAAAAAAATTTTAATTTATTTAAGCTTGTTGGCATTTCAAAAAGATTAAATACTTTTTTAAGGTCGATGAAGATGGGGCTTGTTTGTTCACAGAGGAACAATTGGACGTTCTCAAACGTTTATCAGGGTCTCCTAAGGAATCAACTGAAAAATTTATTGTTCAAGTTAGACATTCATAATTGAATCGAACATTTACTGTTAACTAGCAAATTGTTTTGCAGAATGTAATTATTAATCTTTTTCAAAGGTAAAAGATGACAAAGAAGTTCGAACAAAGATGCATAATTATATAAGAAATCATTTTCCTAAATTATCCAGTGAAACAACATCAATGAATAATGAAAAAAACATTATTGTCACTGTTGGGGGAAATAAAAGAGGTTTCACAATTGAATCTTCTACATAGATTTTAATCTTTCAAAAAAAAAGTTTTTAACATTTTAATGTTTCAATTATTTCAGATAACTCCAAAAATCATTTTAGAGATTATTGCAAGTTTGTTCTGTACAAAGAGAATAAGAGTACTATGGAAGCCATTCAGTACATATCAACTATCTTGAGAGTGAATCATTCTTTATTTTCTTTTGCTGGGACCAAGGACAAGAGAGCAATAACAACTCAAGAAGTTACAGCTTACGGGTTAAGATATTGATCTTTTTTTCTCACCAGAATTTCATTTTTATTTATTATGTAACTGTAGCACACTTCTATAAAGTTTGTCTGGTTATCTGATTTTTCAAAAATATTTTTGAAATGTTAATGAGGGATTAGAGCTAGTTATATGATGATAAGGTTTTTAATTTTTGTCATGTCATGTTTAACAAACTGATTATCAATCAATTTGTTAACAAGCAGTATAAAAATTACAAATAACTTGTATACACAATTTAAGTCTGTTGAAAATATGATCAATGTAGGCTAGTTAATTCATTGACCATATTTTGGATGCAACTTTGTAACATAACAAGTCCTCCACTTAGATCTTTAAGACCAGTAGTGGGTGGGTGTTCAACGTTGATTGAGTTGCGTTTCTATTGCGTACAGAATGCATCTTTTTCTTTTCATGCTTAGAAATCATTTTCTCTAATTTACTTGCTATTAATGTGTCTGAACATCGTGTGGCTAAAAACTGATGACGATGAATGTTAGAAGGTACATTTAATGCCAAAATCCGAAAAATTTAAAACTTTGAAAATTTTGGTGAATAATTTGTTAAGGCTGCTTGACACATGATAGTAAGGTAGGTGATGTGCTTCTGATGAAAAGAATGCAGTGGAGACAAACTGAGGTTAAGTTTTCTATTGCTAATAGAATAGAACGATTATACTGTTATGTATTTATGTGCTTGTTGAATATTGACCATTTTGTCCATGAAGGCCAAAAACAAATGCTGCAAAATTGTGATAAATCAATCATCGAATTTAGTGATTAAATTATGACTAGGTTAAATGCCGTTTTTTTTACATTTAGAACCATGTTTTATTGGACAAACGTTTTTATGTGATATTATTGTCAAAAGTTATAGCCATCCAACTTGACTATAGACATGAAACCAGCTTAAAATTTTTCAAGCAAATTGTAGTTAAAATCATGAATTGAAATATAACACTATCAGAGTTCATCCTAGAAAACTTGCTGGACTCAACAAATGTTTGAAGAATGTTACACTTGGAGATTTTAGGTTTATACACTTTATAGAAATTTATGTGTATATATTTTTCATATAAAAAAAATCAAGTTACACAGATTTTACTTTCAACTTTAAAAATTTTATTTTATGTCCCACTATGTATGTTAGTTGTAATGATTTTAAGTTGAGAAATTGTATTGTTTATATTTAAATTTCCACTAAAATGTTTATTCAGAACCTCCAAAACGCCATTGAAATTGGGGGATTTGAAAGGGAATCATTTTGAAATAATTATTAGGTAATTTATTTTTGAAAAATTTTTATTCCCTTAGTTTAAAAACTTTTAAATTGTGTAGAAATCTTGATGGTGCGAATGTATGCATTGAAAACTCATTGTCAATGTTGAAGCGCAATGGTTTCATCAACTACTTTGGCATGCAACGGTTTGGAGCAACAGAAGTATGCAATTCTCGTGTTGGAAAGTTTGTAGTTTTTTCTTCTTTTAACATTCTTTAGAGGATCTAAATTTGGAGTTTTTTCATGTTTATTTTGTTTTTTTAGTGAAATTTTTTCACCATGTCGTTGTTGTCCTATAAAATTGTGTTGGGATTCATAGCAAATAACTGGCTTGGAGCAAATAAGTCTGTTGGTGTAAATAATTGGGTGAAGAAAATAATTGGGTGAAACAAATATTTGAGTCGGAAAAATTATTGTTAGGAACAAATAGTTGAGTTGGAGCAAAGAGTTGAGTTGGAGCAAAGAATTGAGTTGAATCAAACTGTTGAGTTTGAGCAAAGAGTTGAGTTGGAGCAAAGAATTGAGTTTAATCAAACTGTTGAGTTGGAGCAAAGAGTTGAGTTGGAGCAAAGAATTGAGTTTAATCAAACTGTTGAGTTGGAGCAAAGAGTTGAGTTGGAGCAAAGAATTGAGTTTAATCAAACTGTTGAGTTGGAGCAAAGAGTTGAGTTGGAGCAAAGAATTGAGTTTAATCAAACTGTTGAGTTGGAGCAAAGAGTTGAGTTGAAACAAAGAGTTGAGTTGGAGCAGAGTTGAGTTGGAGCAAAGAGTTGCAGTGGGGACAGCATCAGAAATTTTGATCTTCAGATATATAAATTGAAAAAGTAGGAAGAATATTTTAGGCTATTATTCGTTCACAAATATGGTAAATATTCCAAAGACAAAATTAGTGCACATTGGAACGAATGGAATTATTAATTTTGTTAGGTTAGTGCTTATTTTATGTTGCTCTGGTGACTGTTCTTTAAGGTTTTACCATTTGTTTTTTAATGTGCAGTCTTCTAAAGATGATTTTTTGATTAATTTATTTATGCCTATTCCATTGCAGATGTTTAATACAAAGTGATTGGATCACAGCAATTGAACTAATTTTAAAACCACGCAATGAAGGTTATATGCACTTCTAATTGCATTACCAATGCTTGCTTTTATATTCAATAAACGCAATATTCATATTATATATATGTATATGCTTTTATATTCACGATGCTGCTATGTTACACACACACACACAAACACACACACACACACCATTAAAAGTTACTACAATCAATCAAATCAATAATCATTCTTCGTTTTGCGTCCAGAGACCCAGTTTCCCGAGGTAGGACGTTGTTTTCTTTGCCATCAACTTTTTGCGCCAAGTTAGACGATCAGTTGTATCCATATCATTTAAATTTAGAGCTTTCATGTCTTGCTAGATTGTTTGCGACCAGGACTTCTTTGGACGGCCTTTGGGACGTGTGCCAGGTACTTCAACATCTGCAAGAGAAGTTATGGCACTGTTTCCACTTCGTTTGACATGACCAAACCACCGCAGACGGTGTTGCCGGCATTCGTCCTTTATATCATCTAAACCAGCACGACGCAGGATTTCGGTAGATTTGATGTGGTCTTACAGACTAATTCGTTGCATCCATCGGAGCATTTTCATGTCGGTTCGTTGAAGTTGTTCCAGTTTGGTTGTCATTGTCCATGTTTCTGCACCATATAACAACACCGGACGTATCACAGATTTATAAAGTCTCGATCGTAGTGGTAGTGGGATGTCACGCCGCATCAATATAGAGGCAAGGAGATGCCATTTATTCCAGGCTGCACGTATGCGTGCTCGAACGGCAGCTTCAGCTGTTCCAGTACAATCCAGAACATCCCCTAGATATTGAAACGATGTGACTTTCTCTACCTTAATGGCTTCAAAAACAGTGCTATTTCGAATTTGTTGTTGTGGATTGATGCAAGCAGGACAAACAAAATTGGACACTTTAGATAAAGTACCAATTATTTTTGAACAACGTTTGTGACACCACTGGTTAAACTGCTGACACTTGATTGAATTGCTACCTACACCAGCTTTACAAACTGAACAGGGCCATCGTCCAGTAGCTGTGAATTGGATGGGTTCACCAGTGTTCATTGCTTTGGTTTTGCTGATGTTGACTTTGAATCCATGATCGGCGAGTCTGGTGTTCCAATCTTCAAACATCAGTGCTGCATTCTGCTCAAGACGTGGCTGTTAAAACGATCTCATCAGCATATATTAGATTCCAAATGTCACCATTGCGTATCGGTTTTGTAATTTCTTCCATCAACAACAACACACGTTTAGACGACATTTTTCCCGAGATCGGGGGTTGCCGTTTAGCTACCTATGATGAAACCGAAATACCCCTCGACGCTATTCGCATCTGTCACTCGCCTCAATATCACGCAACCCCGCTTTCACTCTGTCCTTCTTCACCTGCTCTCTCCATCCCAATCGCTGACGGCCCCTTCCTATCACTCCTTCAACCTCGAACTCCAACGCTCGCCTTATCCCGACCCTTTCATTTCTTCTCAACACATGTCCATACCACCGCAATCTCGATCTCCTTATCAATGTCACAATGTCCTCATTCAGTCCCATCATCGACATCAGCTCTGTACTACTCCTATCCTTCACTTTAACCCCACACATCATCCTCACCATAGCTCTTTCAGCCCTCTGCAGTACACTTTCCTCCTCTCTCCTCAACACCAAAGTTTCACCACCATATACCATCGCTGCTCTCACACATGCTTTATATACCCTCCCTTTCATCTTCACTGACCATTTCTTTCCACATAATACCCCACCCAGTTCATTAATTTCTTCCATCACAGTTATAAATAACAGTGGACTGAGAATCGAGCCTTGGTGAACTCCAACGCCGATGTCAAATGCATCTGTGTTTCCAACCGTTGTGCTGATGAGAGTCTTAGTATTCGTATACACTTCCATCACAAGTCGAACAAGATATTCTGGAATGAGTTGTCGACATAGACTCCACCTGATTGCTTCACGGGGAACTCGATCAAATGCTTTTTCGAGGTCTACAAAAATGTGTGATAGTTGTTGATGCTTGCAGTTGCCGAAGGATGTGAATTGCATCAATTGTTGATTTCCCCGCTAGGAAACCAAATTGATAATTTCCGATTGTGATGCACAACGTTAATCTTCTCTCAATGATTTTTTCGACAATTTTCAGGGAGCGTTCTAACAGACGTATACCCCGATATGATGAACAGTTCAATGGATCACCTTTGCCTTTGTATAGCGGGATGTCATGCTATAGTTCCATTCAATCGGCATTGAGCAATTTCTCCAGATTTCACGGCAAAGTTGTAGTAACGCTTGGATACCTGCAGTACCAGATGCTTTGATAATGTCATTTGTGAGTCCCGAGGGCCCTGCTGCCTTTCCATCCTTCATAGCTTTCAGAGCTTCTGTAAGCTCCTCTAAAGTGATATCTGGAATCGGACCTTCGATAGGTGGAGCGTCAAAGTTAACATTGATGGGATTTGTTTCGTTTAACAGACGATTGAAGTATTCTCTCCACTGTAGCTTGATCTCATCTTGTTCAAGAACCATCTCATTTTTGTCGTTTTTGATACATGAGGCACCAACTATGTCTTTTTTCGTACGCTTTGTTTGTTTTGCTATACGATACAGAGATTTCATTTGTTCACCTTTGCTTTTAGTGAGCCACTCTCTGCACTGATCTGTCCGAGCCAGTGCAACTTGACGTTTTGCATAGTTGTTCTTCTCACGGAAAATTTTATGGTCATCTACAGACTTTGATTTTTGCCATTGCTTGTATGCCACTTTCTTTTCAGCTATTGCATTTTGTACACTGTCATTCCACCACCAAGTGTCACGTTCATGCTGAGGTTTTGTACCAGTTTTCCCACAAACTGTAGTTGCAGCGTTCATCGAAACGGTTTTGTATGTACTCCAATCTGTACTGGCTAGTGATTGGTGGTCTAACTGAATTAAAAAAAAACTGAATTAAAATTAAAACTGGTTAGTTAGTTAAAAGTTACTACAATACAATTAAAACCACTTTTAGAATATAATTTGCATTCTTTTGAGTATTTAGATTGATTAAAATTATGCTTACTATAATGTACATTTTTAATTAATTAATTAATCAAGATAAATTTTGTAATTCTTCTGACTTTATTGATTAATTCGCTAAAGTTTTTAGTCAATTTATTTAGTCAATTTGACTTTCTTATACTATTCTCTTATACTATTTCAGATATTAACTATTATTTCAAATTTTATTATAACTCTTTCATTAGTATTTGGTTATAACGTAATTTTTTATTTTGTGCGTGTGTGCGTGTGCTTAAATAATGTAAAGTCAAACATTTATTAAAAGGTATGAACTTCATTTCATTCTTCTGATCTATCTAGATTTGGTATAGAAAATATATATATATATATATATATATATATATATATATATATATGTAATGAAATATATATATATATATATATATATTTCATTACACGCGATGCTTATATTATTGTTATTTAATTTTTTATTAAGATTTTCTATTTTTCTTATTAGTTTTTTATAATTATAATTTAAATTAAAAATTAGAACACCAATATTCATTATATAATTATTTATTAAGCGACGTTTCGAATTTTATAATTCATCTTCAGGCAATTTAATATTAATTCAAATAAAACATAATAAACTGTCAGATGACGTAATAAGAGTTGAGCGCGAAAGTAACGTAACGATTAAAGTTAAATAACGTAAGTAGTTAAATTAAGTATAATAAACAATTATTTTGTAATATAACATAATAAAATATATTATATGTGCAATATTATGTTAATAATAATAATAATAAATTAAACATTTCGTGATGAAGGTAAAATAAAATTGGAATAAATTTGTTTGTTCAAATTAGGTTTATAAATATTAAAAAATAGGGATTCTAAAATTTGTAGTCTGTTAAAATTAGTGTCTTTCATTAATATTTTAGTATGATCTTCTAATATTTTGCGGGATAATTGCTGGTTGTGGCAGTCATGGTAGTGTGATA